TCTCTCCGGTACAAATAAAACGAGTGAAATGAAATGCAGATGAGCTGATCGGAGATCAGCAGTAGCGGTCAGGAGGATCGTCGACTGTTGCCGCCGTTGCTGCTGCTGTTGCTGTTGCTTCTTCTTTCGGCTCTACTCTTGTGAAGTCTGTTGATGCTAGCAGAAAAGTCGTCTGATGGCGTCAATGAATTACTTCGCTTGCAGCGCTGTGAAGTTTACACACTGTGGTGGAGTATGTTGACAATATATCTCCGTGAACTGATGCAACTATAAATATAGTCACACTTGGCGCCAGTACTGTTGACTGGCTGACTTTGGCAGGTAGTGCAGATCTCACTTGTACAAGCTCGCTGTTGATAAGTTACACAGCTGTAGAAAGGTGCAAATAAAGCAATGAGTATGAGTTTTTATCTCACAGTTCAAAACGTCTGTTTGATGGTAGGTGGACGGTGACCGATGAAAGTGACCGGTGAATCAGAGCTGCCAAACAGATGGACCCAGTGACATTGAACTGCGCTGGCTGAAAATGAAAACAAACGTGGGCGAAAAGCTTGCTGTTGATACCACTAGATGACAGTGAAAAAGAGTTAAAAACCAGTTTTTTACTTTTATCAAAATTGACGATTTTGTGGGAAAAAATCTAGAAACATTTTATTTGATTGAAAACTGAAAAATAAGGAAACGTCAAATTCAAAATGGATAAAAACATTGCAAATAGAAAGACGCACTCTTCTCTACTCTCGTAATGTCTTCTCATTCGTCTCCGGAGGCGGCCCAACTGCGGCTTGTCGAGGTCGAGCTGTTTCAGATAGGTAAAAAGTGATTTATTAGTGAATAACGCTCATCTGCAGGCAAAAACCAACAACTCACTGTGACAAGTTCCAGTGTAGTATGTGATGTCATCGAGAGCGAATCCGCCATCACTGGCCTCCCCCTCAAACTGCACCCTGTAGGGCGTCTCGGGAACGACCGCCACCTGGGCGTACATCCACTCGGGCTTGGCAGAGTCGAACTTGCGAGTGGTGATGCGCCAGACCAGTGCCTTTGACTCTAACCCTGAGGCTGAACCTGAGCCGGCACCTCCACCACCACCTCCACCACTTTTCTTGTCATCATCTTCAGTCAGTGTGTTGGTGGCGTCTTGGTTCTCCATTGTGATGACGTACACACTTAGCACCGTTGAATCACCTCTGAAATTGTACAACTTTTAGTTGTGAGATGGTTGGGAAATGCTGTGCATCAAGTACCTTCCAAAAGGGGTAAACCAAAATGACACGCATCGAGGAGTGTTGTCCTCATTGGGCTGAAATTCGGGTGACCGCAGAATGGGATACTGAACTGAGTTTTGGTTAAAAACGTCAAAGTATATGTAGCCAACTGTCAAAGTAAAAAGAATAATTAGGCAACTGATTAAAAGCTGAAACCATCATACTGGGGGCTCTGAAGCTGTGATCCTGCAAATTGGCAGGTCGACTGTTCGGTGTGGCCAACTTCCAGGTGACAGTGTCCTTCAGAACGGTCAGTCGGTTCGG